TTTATCTGTTGGACTCGTTTTTCAGGGAGCATGGAAACATTTGCTTTGGTGGGTTTTCTCTACATTGAGGTGCATTAAGGTCAAAACTAAAATGAGTGTTTCTTCACCTACCACTCATCCTTAGAACAGGCATGAAATTAAGGAAAAAGCATCTTTGCATTCTATTATCAGTAAGTTGTCCATGTGTTTTGCTTCATTAGGGAGACGATCTGAAGAAGTGCTTTAGTAGTTCAAGATGTTGGTTCTGAACTTCCTTTTGCATTTGGTGTGCAATGCCTCAACTTTTCGGGAATGCTACTCTTACAGATGTGCGTCAGCCCACGTATTGGTACTCAACTGGACTGCTTCATCTTTTCAATGATGGTGGGACGTCTCCTCAGCTCTGCTCTAGCTATATTGATGCCATCTATAGGCGCAAATCAAATTATCACTGTTGTTCTACTTTCAATGCACCACTTATTGTGTTATTTCCGCTTCTTGGTAATCGCTTCGGAAGGCGGCCAGGTACAGTCTTTTCATTAGTTTTTGTGGGAGTTTATAGTGCATTTGCCGATGTGGCAACATTTTTGGGATAACAAATGCCATAGTAAAATACAATTGATGATATTATTCCAGTGTCGCATTTTATCTCCAGTACCGGTTTGCGCTGGATTAATGCTCGTTGCGTTCAGCAAAGTAGCTATGGGAAGACATTATGTAGCTATGCAGTTTGCAGTAGATTGTTTGCAGTCAATTTGAAATAAATTCTTGTCTCTTCATTCTTCTATTTTCTATCTACAAACGCTAGGGGTGAGAGGGAGGGGGTAAAGTACGGGGGTGAGGGTCGCGCTGAAGTCCTACCCGGGGAGGGGGGGGGTCGTATTCGACTAATTTGGGTGGGGTTTAGAGACATAATCGGGTTTGGAGCTCAATTAGGGGCTAGTTACAGTATGCCGCGGCAGACTTGCGGAGCAGAAAATCGGAGGGGTCCGGCGCACAAAATGGGAGGGCTCCGGAGCACAAAATGGGAGGACTCCGGAGCATAAATGGGAGGACTCCGGAGCATAAATGGGAGGTCTCCGGAGCACGAGTGGCAACCCCCCGCTGGGGAAACCCCGCGGCTCTGCCATTTCTGTTCCGGAGGTATGCCGTCGGCTCTGAGTAGAGCACGTTCCAATCACCATTAGATAGAACATGAAAAGTTTCAACAGTTTTCTAAATGTATGCCAAGGAAGGAAGTTTGATGGAGAAAAAGTTGTTCTGCAACAAGGCCTGAAAACCGCTCATCACTTTTGCACCATAATACTAACTGATGTGCTATCCTGTGACAATCTGATCCTCTTCTTGCTTTAGCAGAACCTCAAGTTAATCTTCATTGCACAATTTCGCAAAGGAAATGGGAGTTTCTGAGTTGACAATACTTTTGAAGATGTGAATGAATTGAGAACTTAGATACAGCTACAATGCCACTTTTCCCGAGCACCAACTCAGCAGTATTGTAACGTACCTTCCGGTTACTCGTGGGTTGAGGACTACTTAACTGTCCTGAAAAATATCTCAAACATCGCACTTGCCGATAATGTGAGCACACTTATCCACTTCATTCATTTCAACGACGTCATCGATTGCTTTTTCGTAAAGTGTATGATGTGTTTAGGTGTAGCCACGGTCTAGCACGAGGTGACATTTAAGAATCTTGGATACAAAGTCCCCGACATTGTAGAATTCAAAGAGTAAGCTTTTGTGGTTTTGTGGAAGAACGCTCTGTAATCCAGCGAACGAAGAGTGGGCAAAAATGAAGAAAAAGTAGAAAAATCAGAAATAAAGCATGAGAAAGGAAAGATGAGATTCCTTATCTCCAAATTGCCGTAGGAAATCAGAGGGGTCGAAACTCGGGTTAAAGTGAGTACTCAAAAGTAGAGCTTGTCGCAGAGAATAGATTTATGTAAAAATTTTGCATACATGAGGAATAAGGTATATTACTTCGTTTGGTCCGGCGCATCTCAGTTGCTGCCAGTTGTTACAACCTAAAATATTAGACTAATGCATTATCAATACATGTTACCTATCCTTAAGCTGCAGAAAATTTATAGATATTCATGAATACCATTTGATAGAGCAAAGCAAGCCCTACAAGACGGTGTTCAAACAATTTCAGAAAATTGTATATGAAAAGTCTGGAAGAAAAATGTAAAAGCTTCCAAATCTCCAAAGTCCGATGTCTATCTAGAAATCTCCTACAAAACTCCAAGTTGCTTACGAAGATGACTTGTCGCATCAGATATGCACAGTACACTTTGCTGTTTTTCACATTATTAGCCTTTGAGAAAATGAAATTCGAAAGTTCTAGCAACGTCATTGCTATTATAGATTGTCTTGACCTAAATATTTCATACTACAAACCTTGGATTTTATAACAACAATTTGTTAGCATTTTTGAGCGCTATTTTAAGAAACATCAAATTAAACATTGAAAGACTGAAAAAGGCGACATTTTCGAAGTTTTGCCCTATTTTTGATTTTCAGTTTCCACGACAAGTGCACGGCACAGTGACATACGGCAATTGTACATATCTTGTGTGTACAGCATAGGCAGAATCTTTCTAGACGGAAATCTGTTTTTTGGTATTTAATTTTTCCAGATTTTCAACGCAAACTTTACGTAAATCGAACCTTTTGTTCACTTTCAACAAGCGCTTACTAAACATCTATCGTTGCCATTTTCTCGCTTTGTAAAATTGGAGCCAGGGCCCGGCGCGAAGTTGGCACAAACGGCAAGCTGGAATTCGTCTTCGGCAAAAAAGCAAAGGGAAATCGTTTTTTGCGGGGTCCGGAGCGAAGCCCCGGAAAAAATTGGTAGTCTATGCCCTCTGCTCATCTTAACATGTTATGTGCCTCAACAGGCGAACACTGGAATTCGCACGCGTCATACTGCGCCGTCGCTAATTGCCGCACCCGCGACGTTGCTTAGACGATGCTTTTTGTAATAGCATACATGAGTAGTTCTCAAAGCATGCGCAACTATATGGCAGGAAATTTCGTAAGCGAACGAAGAGAGGCTAGCGTAAAACAAAGTATGGAAAATTATGGAAAACTTAGGTGAATAAAAGGTGTAACAAGCGTTTTTTTTTTCAAAAATTTTGCTTAACCGGTGAGTGAAGGTGTGAATTCACTTGGCTCGTCTGCAACGCACAGATGACGATATCGTATGACACTTGTTATGTACATGCACACGGGCCTGCAGGGCTTAACTGAGAATTTTTAATGAAAAGTTATGTGACTGAAGGTCGTGGCAAACTTTTTTCTGAACATTGCCCGCTACAAGAAATGGAAAAATGGCTCGTTTGCAACGCAGAGGTGACGAAATTGCGCGGGATTTGGTGTGTATATGCACAGTAGGACTAAGGAACAAAGTATGAAGAATTATGAAAAACTTGAATGTAAATGAAGAGCGTGCCCAACTTTCTTCCAAATTAGTTGATAACCTAGGTTGGCAAAACTTCCAACTCATATAATTTTTTCAAATTTTTAACATAAATCTGCTCTGCACCTAAAGCTTAGATCATATTAACATTTTGGTTTCAAACCTCCTCCTCTCCTCATTTCTAAAGCCAAAAATACCTTCAGCAGCCCTGTTTCTTAAGGAGGAAAGCGCGCTCCAATAGATAATGGCGTCACTGGGTCCTATGATCGTCACTTACCAGCTTGCACCTACAGCTTTTTACTCTGATCCCACCTTTTTACCCTCCTCCTACTTATTTTATAAGTAAAAGTGCATCTCTCTTTTCTTTCATGGTTTGCTTTGTTTGCAAAAAATAGTGATTTGATTGTTTTTTTTTGAAAGTAAGGTCATCGATAACTGACTTTAGTTAGGCTCGAAGAAGTTCCAGTTTTTGGAAATGAACAACGGTACATTTGAATGACATGGCATACTGCTGGTGCAAATTTTTTATTGACCTCATTGCAGAGATCTAGTATAATCTTGTTTTTTTTGCTATTGTCATGAATGAGTTGTTTTTGTTTTTTTCTTTAATAAAACTTGTTCTATGGGTAAAGTTTCACTGCGCAATCACTGGGATCAGTTCTTGGGTCAAAGGAGTATTCGTAAAAAAATTTGGGGTCAAAGGGGAATTCGTTTTCAAAAGCCCCTTTTGCCAACCTCGTGCCGGGCTCTGACTGGAGCGCCGGATGTTCTCACAAAAATTCAAATAAGATAACAACGTTATTTAATACAGATAATAGGGGGAATGACAGTAATTGCCAGCCGCTGTTTCCAATGCACTATTTGCTTCACAATCCGCCAATTTCAAACTAAGAAAGATTACTGGACCTGAAATAAATGCCTTACCTAATAATTCTTCTCAGTGTAGTGCCCGGTGTAAATGCAATTTGGTAGTTAGAAAAGTGATGCAAGAAAAAAATTGAAAAAGTCGAATTTCTCTGGACCTTTTTCCCATTTTCAGCAATCAGAATCCATGTAATTCTCCTGTTCCAGATGAAAGCATAGAAGAAGGAAATATTCTAAGCTTTTGCGTAACGATGGACTATAGTGAAGATAATGCGAGAGCTATTGGCACCCGCCAGCCATAGTTCCTCTTGCTCGCCACCCCTAATACAGTCATTTCATATAATCATGTGTTTCATTGCACAAACACTGTCCACCTTGGGCGATCCCATGCTAGATTCTTGGAGGAGACAATCCTTCTAAGTGTTTTCGATGTGTTCTTAATGTTTTCTTTAGTTCTTGGGTACTAATCACCTCAAGGTGAATAGCGATAAAGGACGGTCACTCTCTCGCGTTTTTGCGGTTGCAATCCAGGATAAAGACGCCAAAGATGGACAGTGTGTGCAGTGCACCACCCATGATCACTTGAAAAGATTTCACTGCACTCTCAAATAGTCCAGAGGATATGGCTTGAAGATTTGACAAAGCTTCGCGGAAGTCAGGCACAATGCTTCGCTTTATGTCGAGCATTGTTACTGTACCATTACTGTTTGTTTGCGACAACTTGTATTATTGAGTAACCAAACTAGATTTATCAGTATTTGGAGTAACATCAGAGACTAGAGACTGGACACGACTTATATGAGAGAATAAAACCGTAGAAAGCAAACTAGATCTACATCGTTGTTGTCATGGTCTAAAACCATTTCCTGATAACTCGGGACAAAAGTTACAAAGCAAAGTCACCTGAAAAGTAAACAAATGTTCTTACCGAACCGGTACAACACAACTACGGGATACTACACAGAGCTAGAGATTAGGCAAGAGGTCAAATACTAGTGGACTATAAAGCGCTAAATAAACACGTGAGATCACAATACTTTCAAATGAGATCATTTCATCAGACAGTCTTCGGTTCACCATACTGACAGTCGAACAAAACCCGTGATATTTCCAATCGAGCTAATGCGAATGTACGTGCATCCATGCTGGTAAGCGATTTTTCGATCGAACGCACAAAAAGCGAAACCTGAAATAACTGCTCGAATGAAAAGTAAATATGGAAATGGTCAAAAACAACCTCGGTTTCGCCAAGGTCATCCTCGTGATTCTCATCCAACTTTCTCTTCTTCGCACCCGAACTCGAAGACTGTGATTGTTTATCGAAATGCTAAAAGAGTGATAGGAGTAACAAAAATCAATTTATATGAATAAGTTCTACCTCAACATCTACTGGTAAAGGCATAGCCATGCTTTGTTCTGCAAATGTTGCATAGAATTCTTTCAGCGGATCGCATCTGTCCTGCAAAGAGTCTCAATGTGGCTCGAGTCTAGATCTACACTTCTTCTTCTTGAAGTTGAGATATCCAAGAGTTTACTGAAAGTCCGAAAGGAGGTGGTCCCACATGGACATCTGCAATAGACCCCGCGGCATGCATACTACAGCTAATAAAGATTTGTACCAGCGGTCCGCGCGGGGTGGAGCCTATTGGTGACATATGGTCCTCACCCACAACAGAGCACACCCACATGGTCGACGCTCAAGCACACACTAGCCGTCAAGTTTACGGCAGTTGTAAGCACCATTTTTCACTTCCATTTTTCCGTGAATTTCTCAGCCCCTCCTAGTGCTTTTTCTCCTCTATGATTTTTTGAAATATTTTGGCAATTAACGAAACACTATGGCGTTTAAAACACAAAAGTTGAGAAAATCATTAACTTTAAAACTTTCCAAAAAGTTCTTCTTCTATGGGCATCGCATAAGAATTAATCAGGGAGCTCAAAGAATTCTGCACTTTTTTCGGAGTTTTTCTAGTTTCCGATTAAATACCAATAAACTATGAAAGTGTGATTGATCATTCGCCAACCCAATACTGGCTTAAGTTTATCCGAGCGCAGCTGAAGGATTTGGTGCTTTGATCAAATTCTTACCTCAATTTCACCCTCGGCAGAATCACTTCCTTCTTCTTCGTCATTTCTCTCGGTTATTTGATGATCATACAAACCTTCGGCTGAAATGTCTTATTATAATAACATCTACTCCACGAGAAAAACAACGAACCATTTCCTCCCAGTTTCATCAAACTTGCCATTAGATCACCTCTCTTCCTCCTATTTCTATGTTCGATGTAGGGATCCAGGAACGACATTTTCTTGTAGTAGTAGTACCTACCAGAAATAATTAAAAAATATGACCGTTTTGTGTGGATGTAACTAACCATTTGTCTCCCTTCTTGAGAGGAGTACTAGTTTTATCAATTTTTCGAAGTCGAACATAACGATCGCGCATATGGCGCCACTTTCGTTCCAACTCAACTCCTGGCCCTAAAAACAGCTATAGCTTAACCACACTATAAAGTTTTCGATGGAGTTGGGTCATTTTTTTACATGCGAGCACCCTTGTCATAGTCATTCTGATATCGACTTGATTCAGCGGGTTTGACCGTACCGCATAGGGCAAAGTCCGCAGATTTGCCTCTGATTATATCCTTAGTTCTATCTAGTGTGAAGTCCTAAAGTGCTTTTCACAGCTTCAAGAATTAGGACTTGGGCATACTTCACGCGATTTCAGTCGCCACACGATCTGGAAAGCTGCCAGATTTTTTCAAGTTCCACACTGGCAGATTGCAAATACATAGCCAGTATAACTCTCGTAAAGTGATATAATGTCCCACCTTCTCACATTTAGAATGCGTCCACGGTGAATTATGACACTTGGCGTATCGCCAAATCGCGTCGCGACTATCGCGTGAAGTATGCCCAAGGCCATAGTTTTTTGGGCGCGATGAGCCCTGCAGGTGTGGCTGATTAGCGGCTAATTCACCCTTTTGAGCGGGGGTAGCTGGCTTTGGCTTCACGCATATTCAGCATTGTTCAGATTGAAAGTGGACGCGAAACAAGGTGGTAGTAAACACATTTGTAGTTCTCAAAATCTTAGCAAAATTTCGAATTGATGTATAATTTCGACCGCAGAAACATCCGAGCCTAAGGGTGATAAAGCAATTAATTTTGAACATATGCCAACCATTGAGTCAGATGACAACTGTAAATCATTAATCGCAGAAGAGGAGTAACGACTGATGTATAAATTTCGTGTTAGAATTTTAATGGGACATCAACAGCTTCACGTTTCGGAAAATTCGTGGTTAGCGTGAGGAGGTTGCTGATATGGATTTAAATCTATCAACATTTCCGCAACCTTCATTTTTTAATGAATTTTTGAACTTATCAAGACTGACCTGAAAATGACAGCTGCTGTGCAACTTGGTTCCACACGTGACTTTTGTAGTCGGACATTTTATGAAGTGGATGACATCTGCAACAAGCAAAAAAAGCATATATTTTATATATTAAAGCGAGAAACGCATATATTCCACCAAGTTCTAGAAATCATGCAACAAAGAGGCTTTTTGTAGACCGCTCACTTTATTCCAAGCGAGTTTACGACTCCGTAATCTTTGGAACACCTTACGAAATTGGTTAGGCAACGATTCGAGGTATGATTGCCAAACCTGATCATCCAACGCTGGGTCAAAGGTTTTTGACATTTGGATACATTTACAGATTACTTTGAGGGTTACTGCGGAGCACACGTAATCGTAACATGTGCGGAGATTGTTCTACATAATGTATAGAAATAAAAATTAGGTAAAGCGGACCATAACCGCCAATAAGACTAGAAGGCCATTAGCTTCCTTATAATTACCATAAATCTGAGGACATTTCTCCAATTTATATTTCTATTCACGCTAGATCTTCTATCTCGCTACAGTATTTTCTCTGCATTTATGGCTTGAATTGAAGTTACAACAGAATATCAGACTTGCCTATTGAATATACACGGATTTTTCTCAACCGCATCGATAAGACGTAGCTCAAAGTGGTCATCGGCTGTACATGGATACTGCTGCAAATGCCATCAGTCTCGATACAGAAACATATGGGTTTAATCAGGTAAGCCTTTTCCTTACCCCCATAGTCAGATTGGGGTCCTTCTCATCACCATCACTTTCTCCACGATTCTCAGAATCTTTTGCGTCACCATTCGCTGCAGACTTCGTTTCCTTAGTATCCTTTGTGACCTCTGCCTGAGCGATCGGCTTCGCATCAGCCGTTGCTGTTAGCATCCTATAAATTGGAAGTCGGTGATCATTTGATTTGATGGGGACACCAGGGAGTAAAAAATGAGAGCGATATTTGACAAATGTGAGATTCAAATAAAACGATACCAATGACACTTTCTCACTATATTTGAAGAGAATTAGAAGCGTTCTAATACAATAGAAAAATCGTAGACAACTGATGGATAGAACAGCTAGCTTTCTCTTCAGGCAAAACGGCGAGTGCAGCTCAGTGAGATGACTACAAATTCTTTTCCCCAAACAACTTACAAGGAAACCGTGTCGAGTCGAAGTGGCCTTTCCAGATGAGACCCATACTGCTTTGAAGAGTATTAAGCGGTGATTGCAAATCTGCCTTCCAAATCTGCCAAGCGCCTCTGAACGCCGAGTTATGACCGTTAGTCGGAACGAAAAATGAATGCAGAATTTAAGTAAAATTGATTGTTACAATCTTTCCAGCGCTCAGATAAAGCAATGTTAAGTACTAGCATATTAAATTAAATGTATCCATTGCATAAACAGCTTTGATACTTGGCACTGGACCATTTGAGCAAATTTGGGCGATTTTGCTTCAGTTTTGCGTTCAATTTTTTGACCAGAAAAACGCGCATAACTCGGCGTCCAGAGGCGCTTGGCAGATTTGGAAAGCAGATTTGGAATCACCGATTAATGCTCTTCAAACCAGTGTGGGTCCCATCTGGAACGACCACTTCGACTCGACACCGTTCCCTTGTTAGTAAGGTCATTACCGCCACTTTTATGCAAGTTTCTGCATTCTTCTTCTGCTTTGGAGTCCACTACTATCGGTCGACCGATCACTATGACGAGCGAATCGGCTAACCACTTATTTAACATCTCTAGCGATTGCAAAGATGCTATCCATACTGAATAAGTTCACTGATATGCAGTTCAAGAGATTGTATTGAATCTGTTCGCTATCCGAAGGCTATGGCAAAAGTAAAAAAGCTTCAACACTGCAAAGAAGCCACACTGAAGTACGACGCCAAGACTGGCACGGCACGACCTGACCATGGGTTAAAATGGACTTTCTTCTTGGCGCAAAAAAAGAAGGATATTGTATATACATGTTATACATGCATATACCTGACCGACCAAACATGTTCACTTGCTTGGCTAAAGATAATTGCATAATTGTAAGATAATTGCAGGCTTCAGAGTGTTCTATAGAAGAGCGAAAATATTGTGATTCTGATAAACAAAAGATGTCTAAACGTACATGTGGGCACCATAGAAGAACCACATGCATGCAGCAGTGTAGAGAATAATATATTGAGAAACCTCAAAAACTTAGGTGATTGCATACCGCATACGCGTTTTTGAAAAGTTCTCTACAAATCAGACGGGTGTATGGTCGAGGATTATTATTCGAGCTGAAACCGCGAACCTCCCCAGCTTTGTCCAACGCTTTCAACGTAACTCCAACGTTGATTAATAGATACGCTTGTTCTAAAGGCATCAAGCAGTAGTTCCCATATTCATTCAAAACAAAGTTCTGACTTTACAAAAAGTAGCGAGATTCTTTCCCAATCAACAAGTGATTACGAAGCTTCTTTGCACGTTTAGCCTTATAAGTAAGCGGCGGTCTAAGTTGTGAGGAGTGGGTAAGTTTATAACGAAAGTTCACAACTAAAAATGACAAATCAAATATGTTCGTAAAAATTTGAGCCAATACCAGGATTCGTGCTCTAGCCACGTCAGAGTTCTTCCAGGTTATAGGTGAACCATGTTTTCAAAAGAGTGGCGAACTGAGGAGAGGGAATGAGTCGTAAATTTTTTCAAAGCTATTCACATACTCACAAAAATGTGCAAGTACGTTGTTGATACTTGTTAGTAATTTAAACCTTCTAAACCTTTTTAGAATTTGAAATAAGCTCAAAAAGTTTTTGGGAGCATAGCTGCCGCCATAGAGGCTATGAAAAATTTTGGGAAGCAGTCCAAAAAATTCTCGGATTGAACGGCTAACGCCACGCACCTTCATCGAAAGCTTTTGTCGCCCATTTTCCTTCCCCCCCCCCTCCCAGACGAAATCCTGGGACCGACCGCCGCCCCTCAGAAGACTGTAACACATGCAAATGATGTGTCCACTTGCATTGATTTACTTCTACAAAATTGGAGAAATCCTAAATTTCCTCCATCTGTTACCAGAAATCATCGATGCTAATCAAAATAAGGATCTCGGCCGTTTTCCCCGACTCAAGTTTGTGATAAATAGATCAACTGCAAACCGCGACTCAAGTTTTAAGGTCATCACCAGCTCAATCAACCTGAGCACAGTACAAGCTCATCCGCTAATTCTTTGCTATAGTGACCGAATCTTGAAGAATTCAGTAGACATCTTAACAGTGCTGCAGAATTTTTTTTTCGCAAGATACTACTTCACAGCCATATTGTCTACCTTAACGAATTGATCGATGTGGATTTGTGCACTTACTGATAGAGAAGGAACCAAAAACTCCATTGCTCCACCACTTGCTGAGCATACTGGTCAGTATGGTCTTGACAAGAAAAAACAAAGTATTTCATTCCAACTTCAACTTATCGTTCAGTCAGAACCTATACCGGATTTCTAATTTTTTGATAGCACCATAGAAGAATGGAATGAACATAATCGAATAATCACCAACTTATCATATCATATTTCCCTATGCAAAGGAGCTTTCAGAGTTCTGAGCATAGCGGAAGTTATAACAGCTCATTAATTTTATGCTAAATTTTCGAGATAGAGCATGTTAGCGTGACATATGGTCATGCTAGAATCTTAGAAGAACAACTTTAAAGAACGGCCGTTAACCGGTTTTACTTGGGTGACAAGAGCTATGTATTTGCCAACAATGACAATGCGGAAAATATAGTCGCCTTCATTTGACCAAAAGCAAAATGATTTGGCTTACTGGCTATTCCTACCTGCTAATATAGAGATCTTTGATGGAAAACTCACCGAGATATACGAATAAGAATTTGCTTTTACAAATAGCTGCGTTTTCGAAAGCCAGCTTCCAACCACGTTTCCAGGATGGCTAAGAAAAGTTTCGTTTTGGCATAAAAACCTCCATAAGAACTGTTCTATAGTGATGGTGTTTACGCATGAAATTTTTGAGGCGAAGTAGCTCAAAGCTTCTATCAGAACAAATCAGCTTTTTAGAATCTTCTAGTATCAGTAAAGGATAGTTATACCCCGATACAATACCGCTCACATTTTTTGAAAAATAGACGCGAATGTATGGACATGTATGGACATGTACGGACATGTCCATACATGCACGGACATGTCCATACATGTATGGACATGTCCGTACATGTCCGTACATGTCCATACATGTATGGACATGTCCATACATGAGCGTCGCGTGGCCATATCTCGCTTCAGAGTGGACGAATTCTGAATCCAAAGCCACCATTCGATTCAGCTCGGCGCGGAGAATTTTCTGATACATTGGAAGTGGGGGTACGATGTCTTCGGTATTCCGTTTCCAGTTTTTTCAATTTGTTCCGCGGAGGTCCTTTCGCGAATATGTGAAGCAACGCCTACCCAACATAGAAGACTTTACTGATACTATTCGATAATACTGTTCTTGTAGATTATTGTGCGCTGAAAAATAGGCTCAGACTTCTTTCCAAAGGAGATAGAAGCATTGGTGAATTTTGGAAATATCACGCGTTTTTAAATTCTACTCGCCATAACTTCCTTCGGAATAAGTATATTTTGAATCCGAAAGCAGCGCCTTGCTCAGCTCATCAAGGCGAATCTTACTGTGTACAGCATGTCCTTGATATTTCGATTTCAGTATTCTTGAATCTTTCTGAGGACGTCTTTTCGCGAAGGTGTAAAGCAGCGAGCATTGTCCCGACTATTCCAGCAAGGATCTTTCGATAACACTTTTTCTGTAGATTATGATATGTTAGATAGTAGCCGCAGGTTTCTTTTCAAAGGAAATGGAACGGCTGGTGAATTGTGGAAAAAATCTTGTCGTCCCAAGTTCTACTCGCCATAGCCGCAGGATACGGAGCTGTCTTGCTAAGCAGATGTGAGTTTCGAAATCAGCAGGTCGGATAACCTCTGTGGGCAAGTTTTCCGATATGTTCGGGTTAGTCCATTTTTTCTCGTTTTACGCTCCAGAAGCTCGCCGATGGATTTTGGTCAAAATGTTGATGCTCCTGAATTGTAAGGAAACTTCGCTTATAAAGGTTTTCGAACACGCTCTTTACGAAAATCGTGGTCTTTGAGGAATACAGGGTCTTTTTGGAGAGATACGGTGAGGTGACTGTAACTGCATCACGAAAGTGCGTAACTTTGCCCGCACTTCTCGCTGTCAGAAACCTTTCCTGCTTACTTTTCTCAGTCAAAGTTACTGGGAACTGTTCTATCGAATGGTGCATTACTCAGGCTCCAGTCTGTGAAATTCGCCGAGTTACGAGCCTACGAAGACACGTTCTCAGGAATTTTGCCCAAAATGTAAAGATCGCATATCTCGTCGAAAATCCTCCATGAGCGCTTGTATGACGCTCGTTGCAGATATTATGTTCGCTTCGTCGAACGACTCCCACTGTACTGAATATGGTGCTTGCGTCTGCTTCAGTTGCTCAATTGAATATCAAAGCTATTTCGTGGCTAGAGCTCAAAGCACCAAATCTAACACAATAAGATTCGTTAAAAGATTCCAGATACTTTACAATCTCAAAGCACAAATGTTTTTAAACGCAGAATCAACACACTTGATCTCTTACGTTCGAGGCATTCTGAGAATGAGTCATGAATAGCACCAATTCGTCATCTATATTGCTATAGCTGGCCATGTGCGATTACATTATCCGACCAAAAAACGCACACCAAATGCAACCATCAATTTGTGTTTTTTAAATATTATTTTCTTTCAAATGTCTTACTAACCCATATCTTGCTATTACGTTAGTTCAGGTCTAATCAGTTTACTTCTCCTCCCAATCATTACAACTTATTGACTTGCTCTTAAATGAAGTGAAACTATTTGATATTCTTTCGGAGTCATTGGACTCTCCCCGGAATCATTTGGGCAAGGTTGATTGGTGTTACTGCACTAACC